ATGGTTGGAGCACCATCTGTTGCACAAGCACTTACATTTGTGAGGGGAATTTCTTTTACCTCAAAATAATCTTTGACCAATTTAAAAATCGACGATCCTTTTGTATCTGTGTTCAAAGTTCTTGTAAACAACATTTCTTCGTCAATCTCCTTACTCTCATTTATGAATCTCACGTAAGCTAAAACAGCTTTGGATCTATCACAGTTGATTCATCAATCTGCAACGCAAATTCACCTTCTTTCAGAAATTTGATGAGTTTTGATTCAACGTCGGCGGCCATCTCATCAATACGCCTGGAAACAGTATTATTGCTCAGAGGAACAGAGTGACTTATCAGATTTCCGCCTGCGATACTAAAACGTATGACGAAAACGATTCTGCACTTGAATTTTTTTAAATTTTTAACTATCCCAATTCTTCGTCTGCACCAGAACCATAGGTTTCATATATATTTTCAATTTCAATCTCAAATAGTTTTTATTATTAATATTATTAGCAATTTTCATCTTTTGAGTACTCGTCACCCCTGATCGCCACCCTAAGGATTATCGCCCCCTTGAGAAGCTCTATCGCCCCCTTTGGGGCGATCGCCCCCAGGTTGGGAACCACTGCCCTACACAAACATCAATAACATACGAACTCAAAGATATTTAAAATAACAAAATAAAATTGTAATACGTGGTCAGTGCATATTAAAACTATACCCAAGTCCACGTTCAATTAACTCACCACAATAGTGGTGGATAAACTGAAAACTTGTAATAACATGACATTTATAAACAGCTTTGATTTCGTTAATATTCTTACTACCTATTGCCTCTTGAACTTTTATTATCAGCAATTTCTAATTTCGTTCCATTTTCCTCTGCACAAATTAAGATTTGTATTGATAAATTTCTAGCTCTTTTAAAATTTTGTCAATACAACGACTACATTAGTAATGACTGTTTCGTACTCCTACAAATTATTATTATTTCCAATTTTAGTTCAACTATGCCTAACCTATTTCAAATTTCCTATGAGAAACAATAACGAGATAAATCGCAACTTTTTATGTTATGATATGCATTGACTGGATATATTAATGATATACTAATGACTAGATAATGATATACTATGACTAGATATATTAGCGATATTCATTAATTTTTCCGAATTAAAAAATTAACATCATTCAATTTATCCTAATTGCTTAAATCTTGTTAAAAGTAATGAGAATGATATTGCATTAAACTTTTTAGATTTACATGTAGTTTTGGGCCTTGAACCCACTATCTCCGTATATGATAAACTTAACCCTTTCCTTCTCGCTCCCGTGAAAATGACGGGGTGAGATTTCGCCAGCTATTTCTCGCTCCCGTGATATTGACGAGCTGGAGTGTTCTGTAGTAACGCGCCTGTAAGAATAAAACTAATTCATTTCTTTTGCCCGGAAAACATTTTATTTCTCATTATACACACCTGATGGCAGTACCAGGATATTTTTAAGGTAATTGTAGATAGTTAGTTTATTTTATACCAGTTGCAGCACTAATCAAATACGTAATACAAATACAAAAGCCAAAGAAATAGGCACTTTTATGACCGTTTTCTTGAAAATTAACCTATCGTTAAGGGCTTAAAGACGTCAAATTTGAGGTACTTAGTCTACAAAACTATTTCAATTGCATTAGTGTCAGGGTGCCAAGAGGTATTATCACATTTTGAATTATCAGATTTAAAAGAAATTTTTACAACAATACCAAATTTACACTGGAAATGGAAATTTGAAAGCTAAACTTTTTTCAATACTTTACCAATTAATTTTGTCAATGACCTTTTGACTGAATTTAATATTTAAGCTTAAATTTACCCTTTGTGATTCACACTGTCCATAATTGCCTAAACCGTAACCGTAACAAATATTTATTTATGACGCACTATCTTCAATCCAATATTTTAAAAGGATAGGTGTATAGGAACGTAGATTTGGATATAGTTTGGTTATGCACTGACTGCGGATTAAACTTTAATAACTGAAAAGTATTTAAGTTATTTTTATTATCTTTGAGGTCTTATGTTGTAGATGTTTGTGTAGCATACAGCCAATAGCTAGAGCTTTTGCTGTTCATAGCTTTGCTGTAACAAAACCCGACACTTATGAAAGTGAGAAACAGGATCTGCCTAATTTGAACAGATTTTTTAGCTACTGATTTGCCCGGATTGGATTTGCACATGGTAAGAATATAATTAACAAATAAGTTCTTAGTAAATTTATTATTAATATCACACAATTAACTCAAAGATATAATGTAGAACTTAATTACTTTAGTTGTTTTCTGTCCATTTTTTAAATTAAATTTTGAAAGAGTTTGTCGATTTGTTTTTTGGATATAAGCATTACATATTCTTTGTTATTTTTTATAAATTAACCACAAATTTCTTTGTTAATTTAAATGTTTACCATGAGCAAATTTAATTCAGGCAAATCCATGGGTAGAAATCTGTACTAAATGGACAAATCATGTTTCTCTCTTTCTTTTCTTAAATCTGTAATGTGGTAATTTTACAGATAGTAACTGTAATGTGGCAAAAATATTTTAAATCATTCAGGAAAGATTCCGGTACGAGTAAGTTCATTTGAGTTCGCTATTGGCCTTATAGATTTCGGCTCGTGTTTTGTTCTGTATCTTCTTTACATTTCTTTTTTTTTTTACTTGATATATTTTTTACATATTGTATTCTATTTTAGTTTCAATTTTTTAATGCTT